CTGCTGGCTGGGTGCTGGCAGGCTTGCACCTGGCACGGGCACCGTAGCCAGCCCGTGCCCCTTTAAGGGCTCCGGGGCCGGGAGGGGCGCAGAAGAGTTTCCCTGGTGGTGCCCAGAGTGGCCACCAGGGAAAGCTGGGGAGGGCTAGCCTCCCACAAGTTCGAATTAAGTGGCTACACAGCCCTGAATTTGAACTACTTAATTCGAACTAGGCGTTAGTCCTCGTAGAGGTTTACCTAGTTCGAATTAAGCGCACCGCTAGTTCGAATTAAGTTCAAACTAGCGGTTTGCATGTGTAGCGCCTATCAAAGTTAATTTGTAGGGTAGACATACCCTTACAGAAAAAGAATAATGAGTCTGCTCTTCACCCTTAGCTGAGAGCTGAGCTTTTAGCTTGCGTGAGTGGCTCATACCCTAAGCTCCAGATATCCCAAGTTCAGTTCCGCCTTTTGGTGTTATACTGGCATGCATTTTCTTGGTTGGCCTATAATTTTATGTGTGTGTGTATGTGTATATATATATATATTTATACTTAAAAGTATTTCCTGTTTATGTTCAGACCGACTGGAGACTGCCAATAGGCAGCTAGCCAGCAGAGAATTTGATGGGCATGAAGATAAGGCAACAGAGGGCTTTTATGCCTCTCAGAGTGAGTACTGCATTCATCTCTTCTGAAAATATGCTTTTTAACTGGAGTGGAGCAGGGAACTTAGCCAGCATTTCTGATTGCCTTTGTGGTTAGGTTTTACTAAGATGATTAATTGTATAGCCTCATTTCAGTTACCAGGCCGGGTTCTATAGCCTGTTGGTTTTCTGTGCACCAGAACCATGCAGCAGGAGTTAAGGGTACACACAAATTAGCTCATTTTGAATAAATATTTATTTTAAAATGTAAAATGTTGCTTGCAGGGATAGTCCTGTGAGGCAGACAGCTCAGAGAGGTCAAATTCTTCTCTTAGTTGGGACAGGTTCAGAGTAACCTCCCCTGACTTCATTGGAATGAATCTGGATAGATGCCAATGTGAATGAGAGCAGGATTTGCAGGAGGGAACTCGAGGGACAGGAGTCCTACGACTTCTTGTGACATCCCAGGCATGCCTTTCCATGCAGTTTTAGGCTTCTACATGGGTGGAAGCCTGTTCCGAAATAGAATAAAAGCAACTGAAAAGTTCCACACAAAACAAAATTGTGGAAAAAAATGTTTTGGGTTAATCAGAAATTTTGTTTCAGTACAACCTCAACATTTCATTCTGCTTTAACCTTTTAAATCTTTTAAAAAATAGTCTAACAAGCAATGCCTTTTGTTTAAAAAAGCCATATTGAAACAAAATGAAAACAGTCCGTTCTGAAAATTTTGAAACTGAATATTTTGATATTATCAAAATATTTTGTTTCTTTTATTTTTGAATAGATTTTTGTCAAAATCAACAAGAGATCTGACCACCTCACCATTTTCAACCTGATAAACACCCCTCTAAGGCAGGGACATTTGTTTTCCAGTTAGGAAACTGAGACACAGAGAGACTCATCCCGTGGCACACAGGAAGTCTGTGGAAGCCTGAATCATACTGTTCTTTTGGATTTTAGGGGTCATATTCTGCTGTAGGTCACATTCGCTATCCCTATGAGATCATGGGATTGCCCCAGTGTATAACCCAAAACAGAATGTGGCCATTATAACTTTTATTCTGAATTGCTGTCACTTGCTTCTGGGAGTTGTCACAATCCTGGTGGAGAAGTGGCACTATCTCTAAAAAACAGAGAGGAGTGTTTCAGATAATGTGGTATTTAACTGTGGATTATTGCTCCTTATTAATGGCTGTTAATTCTGAAGAGGCTATGCCTTTCTCAAGCGCAAATTCCTGTAGTTAGTTATTCTTTCATCAGTATTACAGCCTCTGCCATGGTTAGTTCTCTGATGAGCTTCTTTGTCATGAGCACACCATCTGTAAACTGAAATTGCAGGGAGAGTTTATGGGGATAGGTTATAATTACTGCTGGAATTTAGCCAGATACCAGAGTTAAGGCTGCTGCTTTTGTGCATTGGTAACTGATTTTCAAAATATCAGAAGCCTGGACTGTGCACATGCAGTTTCACTGTGACTGTGTGTGTAAGTGTGGGAATTTCACTCAGCCCTTCCCAGCTGTGAGGTGAAGGGACATATGTGAATTGAGGTTGAACCATAGAAACAGGGACGAATTATCAGAAAACGGGGCCAAACTCAGCAAAACTTTGGTGACTGCCTCAAAAATATCACCCTTTTGCTGCACAGACTCCTGCTCTAGCTTCCCACCAACGAGTTACCTGATGTTACCTGCTCAGCTACCCCAGATAAACTCTTGATGCCCAGTTTGGTCCTCACTTGCCCTCCCATTAGGAGTCACACTTGGATCAGTGAGGGCAGAAGTAAACACTTCCTTCTTCCATGACACTTTGCTACATCAGGCCACTCAGACTGCTGGACTTCTGGATCCAGGGACCCTGCCTTAGTCTTATGCTATTGGCTCAGTGCCTACAAATTCAGAGTGAGGTGTGCAGTCTGGGCAGTGTGGTGGAAGCTTGTCTTACTGCTCTCCGTGCTGTATGTCACTGGCAGGCAACCAAGTCTTTGGGCCTGACAACTTGGCTTCTCTCAGTTAGAAAAACATTTTTAAAAGCCTCATTCTGTATCTCATCAGTGCAACCCACATTGAATTAGCAAGATTTGTGGTGTGCAGGCCTGGCTCAGTGCTTTGAGAACTTACAGCTAAAGGCAGTGGTGGGCAATCTGCAGCCTGAGAGCTACCTGTGGCCCCTTAGGGTTCTATGTGCGGCCCATGAGACATTCTGTTTACCATTGTCCATGCGCAGGGTTGCCAGATTCTGCTGACTTCCATCCATATGGGTTTTTTCCTGCCGGTAACACTAAAATAACACGTAACGCAAGGGCATGTGAAGTGAGGCATGTGCTGATTGCACATAACATTGACTGTGAAAGCTGGCACGTCCCAGAAATTCTAGGTACACAAGTGCAATTAGCAAAATTACCCTGTCCCAGGAGACTGTCTTGCTTACAACAATCTTTCCGTCCAATAAGATGACAGTGGGCTGCTCCTGTGGCGCACTCACTAGTGTAGGTTGCCTGTCATTGGCTAAAGGTCTGAATTTCAGTATCTTCTGGAAGCTTTTGCTCATTGGTTCTGCATCTGTCCTGCCACCTTCTGCATCATTTCAAATACTGGCATTTTTGATAGGGACTCAGGATACAAGTGGCCAATATCCCTCTTCAACCCTTGGCTCTCATGACCTCACTGACTTGTTAAGGCCATGTTCTGTGAATCAACCAGATCAAGGCTGGAGCTGAATGAGCAGAAAAAGCATATCTTGTTACCCAGCCTGAGTTCTAGTGACATAGTCACTCCATTATAGGACGGGCAACAGCTGCAAGGGTGAAGTCCCGCATATGTAAATGGCTTATGACAAAGCTCATCCGAGAGCTTGTCATGACAGGGCTGTAAGACCGATGAAAGGCTAAATAACTACTTTAGTTCTCACTCAAGAAAGACAAGGTCATTCTGGTGTCTTTGGAAATAACAAGTACAAACCAATAAACCAGAACTAAACACCATATTAGTTTTAAAAAAAAGATAATTATGAAAACATGGAGAAATTCTGATTCAGCATTCCAATTAATATTTTTAACACAAATCTTGGAGCCCAATGCTGCTCTCTCTCACACCAGTCAATTGTTATAGAGTCCCATTGATTATGATAATTCTAGAAGAATACAAAAAAATATTTTAAAGGCTTCATTTTGAAGACTTTGGGTCTGTTCATTTGAAAACAAGGACAACAGTTCTGGATGCACTGATATATTCTCCAGATCATTGGTTTTATTTAACATTCAGGTAAACCTAATAAATGATCGTGACATCTTAATCATGTTATAGACATGAGTAGGATTATCAGAACATCAGTAGGTGTTATTAATTGTTGTAAGCACCTTGTTGACCTGTTAGATGCTAAAACAATTGATTAATCATTTATTAGAATAGCTATTCATAATTTATTAACTCTTTATAAAAACAACCTTAATAAAATGTGTGACCCATTTTTTGTTTCCAATTCATCCAGATTAATAATATTTGATTTACAACTCGGGTGCAAATCTGGGTCAGAGCTTGTCCTTAAGGTATTAAAAATTAAGTTTGAAAACAAGTTGTCCACTTTTTTCTTGCCTTTGGGGTTCAAGTGGCACCGAGCAAATATTTCTTTTTGTAAAATGACTGTGCTGTGAATCGGTAACAACAACAGTCTGGTAGCACGTAGCAGTCTCAGTCATGGACCAGGACTCCATGGTGCTAAGCACTGTACAAACACATAAGAAAAAGATGTACATGTAAACTGACCTCTCCAAATAGAGCTATTGTGTTGTAAGCTGAAATATATCAAGGGTCACCCTGTCTCAAAACCACTGACCAAGATTTAATAATGGTCTGTCACAATGGTGGCATAATACTACTTGCCAAGTGAGAGCTGGAGAGGGACTTTTACTGTAATGATTGGTTATATAATACTAGACAAGATAATACAACTGATTAAATGAAATTTAATGTTGATAAAGGTAAAGTAATGCACATTGAAAAAAATAATCTCAACTGTACATGTAATACAATGGGGACTAATTTGGCTACAACTACTCAAGAGAGAGATCTTGGAGTCATTGTGGATAGTTCTCGGAAAACATCCACTCAATGTGCAGCAGCAGTCAAAAAAGCAAACTGAATGTTACGAATCATTCAAAAATTGCCTCTATATAAATCCATGGTAGGCCCACATCTTGAATACTGCGTATAGGTGTGGTCGTCTCATCTCAAAAAAGATATATCGGCATTGGAAAAGGTTCAGAAAAGGGCAACAAAAATGATGAGGGGTTTGGAATGGGTCCCATATGAAGAGAGATTAAAAAGACTGGGACTTTTCAGCTTAGAAAAGAGGAGACTAGTGTGGAAAAGTGAATAAGGAAAATTATTCACTTGTTCTCATAACATAAGAACTAGGGGTCACCAAATGAAATTAATAGGTGGCAGGTTTAAAACAAACAAAAGGAAGTTTTTCTTCACACAGCGTTCAGTCAAACCGTGGAATTCTTTGCCAGAGGATGTTGTGAAGACCAGGACTTAAAAGGGGTTCAAAATAGAACTAGATAAATTCATGGAGGTTAAGTCCATTAATGGCTATTAGCCAGGAAGGGTAAGGAGTGGTGTCCCTAGCCTCTGTTTGTCAGAGGGTAGAGATGGATGGCAGGAGAGATATCACTTGATCATTACCTGTTCAATTCGCTCCCTCTGGGGCACCTGGCCACTGTTGGCAGACAGGTTGCTGGGCTGGATGGACCTTTGGTCTGACCCAGTATGGCCATTCTTATGTTCTTAGATGAGTGGAGGATAGCTCATATAATGCTGTTTTTTAAAACAGCCTGGTAGAGATGTTCCTGGCAATTACAGGTCAATAAGCCTGATGTTAATGCCAGTTAAACTGGGCTATAGTGAATTGACATTATGCTCTCAATAGGCAACTAGCCAACAAAAGTGCTACTTGGCTCTATGAGTTGTTGCTTAGATCTTGTTGCCTTCTTGCTAAAGGAAAGATAGTGAGCACAGATGGTTGTGAAAAAGGGGTTTTTTAAAAAGTCATTTCCCTCACAAAATTTCAAAATAAAAAACAGGACTATGTAGCACTTTAAAGACTTTACCATCTTGTTAGTCTTTAAAGTGCTACATAGTCCTGTTTTTTATTTTGAAATTTTGTGAGGGGAAAAAAAGTGGATGAAATGATGGCAGAAAATGCCCCTATTTTTAGGACAGTTCTGTTGGTGAAATTAGATCTGGGAATAGAGAGGGTTACACCCATGTCAGAGGTCTGACACTGCTTTGTGCATTTTGCTTTCTGGGCTGCCTGCATGGATAGTTTCTGGTACATTTATTGTGAAGGAAGGGTTCACTCACTGCGAGCATATGAACAGTCACCTAGTAGAAGAGACAGTCACTGTGGCTACGTCTAGACTACAAGCCTCTTTTGAAAGAGAGCATCTAGATTACAAGCAGATTTTTCGAAAAAGCAAACTGCTTTTTCGAAAGAAAGTCTAGACGTTTTCTTTCGAAAAAGCACAGTTTGCAGTCAATAGTGCCTTTTTTCAAAAGAGTACTTTCAAAAAAAGGCATTATTCCTTGTAAAATGAGGTTTACCGCGATCGAAAAAACTACCACGTTTTTTCGATTTACTTTCGAAAGAACGCAGCTGCAGTCTAGATGCAGGTGAAGTTTTTTCAAAAAAAGGCTACTTTTTTCAAAAAACAACAACCCTGTAGTCAAGACGCACCCTGGCAGTCACAGAAGGGTTGTAGGGTACATAAGTCATGCTGGACTAAAGAATCAATTAGAACCCCAGTGGGACTAAAAATTAAATTTTCTTTCATGGAACTGCTTCTGCAAATCCCTATGGCAGGTCCTAGGGCTATGCAGGGGCTGTAAATCAAGAGAATGCCAGTTAGTGGAGGGTTACCTTCCTTTCCCTTGAAATAGAAACATGTCATTTTAAGCAAGGTTCTAATGAATCCAAAAGTGAGGATGCTGAGCTCTGGTCAGCGAGGCACTTTGATCAGCTTCCCTGTCTGGCTAATGAAACACTGTGATCCTTTCTGCTGGTGCCTCTTGAACTTGTGGTTGGGCAGGCTTGGATTATTTACTGGAAAGTAAAAGGTCTTTGCTTTCATCCCTTGGCAGAGGCAGAGAAGCAGCTTTTTCTGGCAATTTGCTGAGAAATGATTCTGTTCCATGGGCTAGTTTTTGAAAAACGGAAGCCTCATGCCTGTCTAATTTAGTCCCCTTTGCCCTTTCATTTTGTGAAGCTGCTGTGGCACATCAGTGGCAGGCTGGAGCCAATAGGCAGCATCCATCAAAAGAGATACATATAGGGCTTATTAGGTGTCCTGTCTGGGGCCCCTTTGTTATTCACTTATTTGTTTTGCTATGGATTGAGAACATATAATTTGCATGTACTATATGACATGTTTGCACTTTTTGTATGTAGCATCTTCCCTCTGATGTTCTCAAAGGATCTTACTTAGTAATTTATTTAATAGAATCAGAGGTTTGGAAGAAACCTTAGAAAGTCATTGAGTTGTTTAACCTCTAGCAGCAGCCATAATGTAAAGCCAGGCGTGAGCTAGTGAGTTCTGGCATGTGAGACTCTGCCCATCACACTGTCACTGTTGAATCTCAGGCACTGTGCTGGAGTAGCCCAAACCCCTGTTACTTTGCATAGTTTTTGTTTTTTTAACAAGGTGCCAACTTACCTCTGGCACATGGCCCAGAGTCTGTGCACTGTTCTGATAGAGCTGCTCTTGTTCTTGTCTCTCTTCCAGACAAAGAGCACTTGAAGGAGAGGGAGAAGCTGGAAATGGAATTGGCAGCCATGCGCTCTGCCAGTGAGGATCAGCGGAGACACATTGAAATCCTGGACCAGGCACTGAACAATGCTCAGGCCAAGGTCATCAAACTGGAAGAGGAGGTGAGATGAGGGCATCATTCCCTCGGCTTTGCTGCACACGATTGCTTGTATTTCGTATTCAGTTTAAAGTTATAATTCAATCTGGCCCCTTAACCCTTTCCAGCACAGGGTGACAGCCCCCTCTTCTCCAGACCCTTCAAAACAGAAAACAATTATAAAAAACTGAGCCAGCCAGGATATGAAAGGAAATCACAATCACAGATGCTTTCTGTATAACCATAAACTTCACTAAATTTCACCAGTGGATCGCTACGGTAATGTTAAGACATAGGCTTCTTTCTCTTTAGAATACTCTACTATTTGTGGACTTCATGAGAAAGTATCTTATCTGTGTACAGTCCATTTCTTCTCAAAGAATCCCACAGTATATAAATGCAGTGTATGTCAGTGTCTATAAACCACAGACACTCAGTGCACCATAGAAATACAGCCATCTCTGTATTGAAGGATGGCCGTCAGACAGTTAATCAGTTCACAGAACTCAGTACGACAGGACCAGATAACTTGAATTCAGGAGTATTAAAAGAAATGTATGAGGTGCTCTGGTATTTAACAAATCTTTGAATACTAGTGTAGTTCCAAAGGACTGGAAAAAAACTAATGTCCCATCATTTACACAGGATAACATAGGTAAATATAGGCTGGTTAGATTGACATCGGTCATAGGCAAAATCTAGAAAAGATTGATTGAGTGCAATCGGTAAAGAATTAAAGAATGGAAGCATAAGTAATGCAAATCAGTATGACTCATGGAAAACAGATTGTCAAACAAACATGATATTATTTGATGAGATTGCAAGTTTGGTTGGCTAAGTTTAAAATAACACACTCAGACTTGTGTAAAACATTTGATTTAGTATTGCACAAACGTTCTCTTAAAAAAATAGCACTATGCAAAATCAGTGTAGCCCTTATTAAATGGTTTAAAAACTGATTAACCAATGGATCATGAAAAGTCATGTAAAATGAGGATTAGTCATCCATTGGGGATGTTTCCAGTGGTTCTTTTTTGGCCCAGTGCTATTTAACATCTTTGTCAATGATTCAGATGAGAACATGAATACCCCACTGGTAAGTTTACAAGGTTCTGAAAAGAGCTACAAGAATGATATATGAGATCTGGAAAACCTCTCTTGCAATGAGACCAAAGAAGATGAATCTATTTAGATTACCCAAACATTGCTTAAGAGATGATTCGACTACCAAGTCACAATACTTACATCACAGTAGAGATGTACTTACTAGGGATGTAAGATCCCATTTCATTAGTTAACCAGTTAAATGTTAAGTTTAACCCGTTAACTGATTAAATGGGGGCGGAGGGGCCATTCCAGCCTCCTGGGCTGAAGTGGCTCCTTTCCCTGCCACCACCAGCCTGGAGTGGTCCTCATGCCGCAGGCAGGATCTGCTCCAGCCCAGCTGCTTCCACCCTATAGGACTGCTGGCTCCCAACCTGCATGGGCTGGGAGTCGGCAGCCTCACGGGGGGGAGGGAGGGAGCGGAAGGAGGAGTGGGAGGGGGGTTGGGCTGGGAGTTGGCAGCACTCCTCCCCTCCCCTGCTGACATTTCTGCTCCTTCCCTCCTCCCCTGCCCCGCACAAGGCTACGGACTCCCAGCCTGTGGGGCTGCTCCTGGGTAACAGGATCGGTCGGAAAAGGCTTTCCTTGTCGACTGATCCCTATCTAGACTGCCGCTTTTTGCTGGCAAAGTGCCACGTCAGCAAAAAGTGGCAGCCATTTTTATTCTAATGAAACGTGGGATATTTAAATCACCACTTCATTAGCAATTTCGGTATGTCTAATTTACATCCCTCTGGCGACAGAGGGATGTACTCTAGACTTACCCTAGGAGAAAAACAAAGGCGTAACAGGATCCTGTAGCTGAAGCTGAAACTAGACAGATTAAGACTAGAATGAAAATGTATGTTTTTAACAACAAAGGTGATCAACCACAGGAGCAATTTATCTACAAGGTTTTAGCTTCTCCATCATTTGAAGTTTTTAAATTAGATCTTTCCAAAAGATCTGCTGGATCCCAATCAGAATGTATTCGCCTGATGCAGGAATCATTTGGTGAAATTCTCTGGTCTGTGTTATGACAGAGATGAGACTAAGATTATCACAGTGGGCCTTTCTGGCCTTATCCATGAACAGTGAAATGAAGGAAATTTTGAATAAGGATGAAAAGGTTATAGGATTTTTAATGTCTATGCAGAACAAATCAGATTTTGGTGATAGGGAGGGCTTCCAGTGGTTTGGGTAGGACTTGGGAGATCCAGGCACAATTCACTGCTCCAGCACAGAGTTTCTGTGTGACCTTAGTCAAGTCACTTAGTCTGTCTGGCCCATATGTTTAAAGGTATTTAGCTATTGCTTCTCTCAGCAACATTGCTGGAGCACCTTCATGATTTAGGAATCTTAAGTCTGATTTTCACTTAAGAGCCAGAATCTCAATGGGATTCAAATCCTTTTTGAACATGAAATTCAGGCTCCTATATCAGTTAGGTATTGCAATGCTGTGCAGCAATGCCTAATTACTTTTAATTAGTTGTGTTTCAGTTCCTGTCTGTACAATGGGGAAACTAGCACTTCCCTACCTCACAGGGTGTTGTGAGGGTAAATACATTACAGATTGTAACATGTTTAGGTATGGTGATAGGGACCATGAAAGTACCTTCTGAGGTCTCATCTGTAAGATTCACAAGCAGCAAAGTGCATGCAATTCAATTTGTCTTTCTGCCCAGGAAAGATAAAGTGGTGAATTTCCATTCTTGGAATTTGAAGCGCTGGTGCCAAGGAATCCAGGTGTTTCAAACCTGATGATTAAATTAATCAGCACTGTACGTACTCTGGAAGATGTAAAGTGCTGTGTTCATCTGCTAAGTATTACCTATTACTTTATTTTAGACCACTAAGCCATCTGTTTCAGAACCTATAATATCAAAGTAACATAGAATATGTCCATTATACGCCACCTTTATCTGTTTCTAATCACAAAATTAAGCCACATTTTCAAAAGAGCCCATTGATTTTGTGTGGGTCACTTTTGGTTATCTGACATGAGACATAAGATGACCATTACTCAAGTTTTGGACCACATTCTTTAGAAAGAAATTTTAAGGTAATTTGAAATATATGGAATGAAAGAAAAAAAACATTGGGGGAAATCTACACTTTTATTACGGTTTTATCACCTGCAGATCTTGGAAAATCTCTATGGATTTCTTGTGCTACCAAACAATTATAGTTAAGTTAAAAAGCTTTTTGTAGTAAACTGGGGCAGTTGTAATTCAAAATGAATAATGAAACATTTAAAAAAATTAAAAGCCTAGTATTATACAAATCTACTTTATAAAAAATGCCTATAAATAGAAATATTTTATTTTAAAATATGAAGGTAGTATTACCTTTGTATATAGCATTAGTGAGAACATTACTCGAACAGTGTCCAGTTTAGTTTTCACACTTTATAAAATATATTGAAAAATTGGAAAGGGTTCAGAAAACAGCTATAAAAATTATTGAAGGTCTAGAAACATACCCTACTATCGTGAGGACTAAAGAAGCTCAATCTGTTTAGTTTATTCAAGGGAATGTTAAGAGGTGACTTGTAGAGGCATGCAAATATGCAGATATCCTTTTTATATCTGCAGATATCTGCGTGTGGCAGATCAGACGTAGATACAAATTTTGTATCTGTGCAGGGCACTGGTCACTTACTCCCAGTCTACATCAGGAAGAGATTTCAGACAGAAGAGAGCTCTTTAATATAGCAGAAAAAGGCATAATGAGATCTGACAGTTGGAAGATAAAGTTAGATACAGTCAATATAAAAATAGATCCAATTTTTAATAGAGAGAGAAATTAACCATTGGTACAAATTTCCTAGGGAGGTGGTGAATTTGCCATTATTTGCAGTCTTTATGTCAAGACTGGATATCTTTCTAAAAGATATACATATCTCAGACAGTTATGGCTTTTATGCAGCAACTCATGAGTAATGCCCAGTGACCTGTGCTATGCAGAAGGTCATACTAAATGATCATAATGGTCCTTTCTGACCTTAAAATATATACATTTAAGACTTGATAATGGTTGAGCTAAGAAAAAGATTTTTCTGATCCCTGGGTCAAGGCCAGCACCTGGAAAATTTTACTGATCCTATGAATTTGTCTATTTTTCCATTAAATATTTTTTACCCTAATTGGTCGTGAGTTATTGTACCATAAAATCAACTCATTCTTATTATGCTCTTGCTTCTTCATATTCTATATACATTTAAGACTTGATAATGGTTGAGCTAAGAAAAAGATTTTTCTGATCCCTGGGTCAAGGCCAGCACCTGGAAAATTTTACTGATCCTATGAATTTGTCTATTTTTCCATTAAATATTTTTTACCCTAATTGGTCGTGAGTTATTGTACCATAAAATCAACTCATTCTTATTATGCTCTTGCTTCTTCATATTC